TTTTTTGTAAACAATGCAATTATCGTTGAGTGATAATTGCACACTGTGCAATTACCGCTGTAATTTTTCGATAATTGCACACTTCAAACGGACAGATTATAATACGAAGGAAATATTCTACATAATAAAATATTCACCATAACAGCACCGCAAATGAGAACAATATTTGATGGAGAATTTATAGAAAGGGAAAACGGAATCGTTGGTAAATCCGGAAATGTTGCGTACGAAACAATGGAAAATAAACTGGGTATAAAAAGATCTATTCTTAGTACAATCCGCGATTTTAACGGACTGATCCGTTAAGTTTGAAGTAGAGTAAGGGATGAGCACCGCTTGATAAGAGTGCCTGATTCGCATCAATCTATACCCTTCCTGTTTAATCATCCAGCAAAACTATGCAGCGCCAACAACAATTAGATAAATGTACGGACTGGAATTGAGTCTGATAGCACTTACCCCTAGCAATTTAACATCCGGATAGGGCTTGTCGTCGCTATCCGACACGTTCCGGTGATTCCGCTTCATTTGCCGCAGCGCTTTCAGCCGACTGTACTCATCCGAACACACTTTTTTCCAAACATAGTAAAACTGGATGCACTGTTTCACCGATTTCGACTTGATCTGGAATATGCAGATGGGCACACAGATTAGGGGCGAAATTGTGAAGAACTTATCCAATATCGAACGTACCTCTTCAGCTATTCTAATAAAATCTTTGTCGAACTTCAGCAGGCATCTATGGAATAGTTCAGTTTCAGCAGATGTCCACTTGTCACTCTCACTATATGAATAGGCCAGTAGCGGATGGTCAGCTGGTAGATGCGGGGATGGCTGCATCAATCGAAGCATTGCATCCTAGAAAACAATCCACTTTGACTTGGCCAAATAAACACTAATTTATTCTACAAAAAATTATGAAACTTGTGGGGTTTTCAAGTACTTTCCAACAATGAGAGTGAAAGCTGTTACCTCTTTCGATACGTGAAATTTCAATATAATAAGGAATTTTTACTGTAGCAGTGTGATTTATTATCAACCTCAGTTGAGAAAAACACTGTTTGGTGTGATAAATCAATGTTTAAAGTTTAAAATTAGCTATCAATTAGTCGATAAAATGAAAGATTTCCTTCGAACTTACATGTATATTCCCACCACACATATGAAGAAGATGCATGGCATATTCTTTGTTTCGCCCTCCGCCCGGGATGGCGGCACAGCATGCGAACTCCAGATACATATCGACTGAAACAGAAAGTATCCATTTCATTTTTTAATTATGGTAATATTATTTTGCGGGTTATTTTACACTTTTTACATTCGCGCTATATCAGCGTGTATCAGCTTACTCAAAATGCGTTGTCGGGACAATCAGTTTGTCGAAATGAAACGAGCGTTTCGCTTTCGTATTTAGATTTTTTTGAATATTCTTTCCATTTTTTCGTTTGAGCGAAATACCTTTGAGGATGCAGGCTAATCGTACTCGCAAAAAGTCACGAAGAAACACCAGTTTTAACGAATGGCCCTGCGAAAACCTAACTGTTTAGATGAATGTTTTAGCTGTATCCAGAGTTGTCGATTTCGAGGTCATTGCCGAAATCTGGTCATTTTTTCGCGATTTCAGGCCGCGGTAGAAAATAAAATAATTTCTTCCTGACTTTCTTTTCCACTACCTACGTCCTAAAACCCGCTCCAGCAGATTGCTTTATCATATCCGATAAAGTCCCAACTAGAAAACATATTAACTAGTATCGGGAGTAATTTGATTATATTTGGGCATTGCTTAACAGATTGAATTAAATTTTCATTCAAATTTGCTTGAGGAAATCTTCGTGAAAATCATTACTGAAAACGTCTTCTTTACTTACCTTCTGAGTCAGTACAGCTGCTGATTCCTGGATCCCACAGCAGGTCTTCATAAACCGGTTGCGGGCTCATCCGTTTCGGCACTGACGTATAAGTGGGGATTGTGCATTGATTTTGAGGGCCAATATTTATGTGAGGAGTTGAATCGGTTTCTGGAATGGGGTCGCCCCAAGTGGAACCATCCTCACCTACCATCGCAATTACAACTGGTCAAACGCCTTTGCTACATCAGTGTTACATACCGAATTTGTACTTTATATTCGCATACAAGCCCGATCCGGGTCGTTGGGGATTCAAAATTGGCTGAGGAGTAAACCGCGTTGATCCTTGAGGTTTACTTCTGGTTGTGCGTAGCTTGGATTGGTGGAATACTGGGAGTTGGAGTGGTTCGGTGCGTAGTCTTTTTCGCGCTTGTTTTATTGGGCTACTAGTTGGAATCCTGGAAAGTTACTTCAATGATTAACTCCAAGCAGTAGCTTACGAGTTACGCAAAAAAAAGATTGATTTTCAGCCTAAAATGTTGTAAATCAAAACTGAAAGATACTCTCCGAGAGAGATAGAGGAGCTTTCAACGAAAAAATACCTCAAAAGCTTTGATAAACACTGCAGAGATTATCATGAGAACTTACGTTGTTGGACTGAGAAACACATCGTTGCATTCTTCCCTCCTCGCTTCATTCACAATTTTACACCTATTAGTAGTGATAATTTTCGTTGACGTTTGATTCGGTACAGCTTTCGCCAGAGTGAGCTTTTGCACTTTAACTCTACCATCTTTGGTTCCAATTTCCTGGCTACTGGTCGTAACCAGCTGGGCGTTGGACAGGACGAAGTTTTTCGTTGCACAGCCGGAACTGCTGGTCTGAATCAGCTTCAGCTCACCATTGGCGTCCACCAACAGTCCCGTGAAATTTCCCCCATTCAATTCGATCAGTCCGTTGTTACTCAACAGTCTTACTGGAACGCCGTTCAATTGGATGCGCTTTTTCAACACAAAGTCCTTCGGTTGGCTCGAGAGAAGCGGATCCTCGGAATTTGGAAGCATTAAGGTGGCGGAAGTTCCAGATCCTGAAACAATCAAGGCAATGGGTGGTGTTGAATGAAGGAAGCACAGGAAGGTCCTATGTTCGAAAACGAACAGAAAGTGTCTTATGGAAAACTACGTTTTTGAAAAATTAATATTTTACCCCCTGCACAACCCTTCCAACCAACTACTATACGAACGCACAAACGTGACCAAAATTTCGGAAAGACTAATACACTTACAGACAAAATGGACAAACAACCCCCACAACTGGACCATACTGAATCCCCTTTGCCTGACAAAACAGGCAAAACATTCCCGTTTTCGTACCCCAACAGATACTTTACTAGAACACCTACAAACGCAACTGAACTAACGACTAAGACCTGTTTGTTTTGTAGGCCAGGATTTTTTTTTATCACTGATTAGTTTATACCAGTGTTAGGAATAGGAATTAATTTTAGAATAAGCTAGGCTAAGACACATATGTACTACTCAAGGGCAGAAAGACCGATTGGGTCGATAGCCTTTTTCTATAGGAAATAAAGATTATTTATATATATACAATATTTTACACGGCAGAAAGGAAGTAGCGGATGAACATTAAGGCAACAACTTAAAACGCGAAAACAATAAAACAATTACACAAACATAAGTAACAGAGATGAGTGAAGATTGGATATCGGAAGACCTAGAACTTTGTAGACTGATTAACCGTAAAATAGAAAGGTTTCCAATCTTCTTCACTTTCCAAATCTCTATAAGTACATGAAATACTGAAAATACTCTTACCCCATTGCGGTAAGGCAGATGCTTGACTAGAAGCCTTTGGTGAGGAACTGTATGTATTAGAAGGATGAGGAGAAGGCATTGATGTAGTCACTCTTGGAGACGGCACAGGAGTGAGCCCTAACGAATCGTTTTCAGACTGCGAAGGTGGAGTATTGGAAAGCGGATAAAGGTTGTCCTCATTTATACTTTCGCCAGGCAGGATTTCCTGGATTGCTTCTTCAACTGCCGCCGAGCTGGACATTGTGCTGGTGTAGAATGCCGCAGATAGAGGCGAAGAAGCCTGCGGTGGTTCGTCGATGCCTGCATTAAGAAGCATAATGTTGTATAAAATTTTGGATTAATTTGCAATATCATACCTCTTTCGACCATCTGCCCAAAGTCATCATTGGGCGACACCATGGAGACGTTCATGTTTTGTCCAAAGCATGGACTCTGACCTTCATGGCTAGCTGGAGGGGTTGGATAGGCGAAGCCTGGAGAGTCGTGCCTGATCATGGGACTTTGGAGAGGCGACTGAGTAGTAAAAGTGTGCGGTGATCTTGCATAGGCACCCGGCGAATGGGTCGGGTAACCAGGAGATTGAATTTCCAGATTCTTAGACGAATGGTAGGTGCTGAACTCCGCCAGGCTTTCAGGTAACGGGGAGTTCAGCACAGCTTGCAGCTCCTGATTGACGGGGATTTGAATAGACTGCTGCGAGATTGTCATGGGCTCTTCATGTAAACTTGCAATATCATCCAGACTCAGTTCCTGAAGATCCTCATCCCCTTCATTCTTCATATCCAAAAGGCCCTCCTCCTTGATGGTCAGCAAGTTGTCATCCTTAATTAACAGATTGTCGTCTAGTGATTCTGACTGGAATGATATTTGAGACAAATGACTCGGATCAACACCCTGAATCATCATAGTGTTGTTCGAGAAAACCTCGTCCTCTAAACTAGGAGTTACAAACTGCCGCTCGTCTTGATATATTTCCACGTTATCCAGCGAGAATGAATCTGAGCGGTACTGCAACAAATGCGCGGCCTGACCTGGATCGGAGGTAGTACGTTTAACACAGATTTTTTCCCTTTTCACAATAAGGTCAGCGATCGCTTGAGCTTCTTGATAGGATTTGGAGGACTTCAATGCCTCCGCATCGGAATGTCTACGGTGTTTATCGAGGACCAGATGCGGTGGAGCTGGAACAACGAACGAAGTGTGCTTGTGATCCATATCGACTTGTGTAGCCGATGTCGTATGGCTGATCGCTTCGACATGTCGGGTGCTGGGCGATGAATTTCGTTTGTTGATTATTTTTTCCTCGATCAAAGCCCGCACGCTGCTGCTGGCGGTTTGGAGCGGCGGTCCAGTTTGCTCTTTTTTATCCAGTTTTTTCGTATCTGGATCCTAGAATGAAAACCATGTGTTAGAGTGCGCGGGTTCACGAGTTTTATCCTTGAGATTAAGTTGCTTGGGATGATGAGCCAGCTACATGAAGTTAAATGCATTAAGGTCTACTTATGGTAAGATGAATGCTACATGTTTACGCAAAGAGCTGCCCACCTAATAGAATTTCGAATTTTGCCCGTTTTCATACAGGCTGATTCATTAGGATTGCGAGGCGGAGTGAATTTGACTTTTCAACTAACTTAGGTAAAATCGCAATTTGATTACAAGTTTTGCTATCGTTGTTGCAACCGCCCGGATTATTCAGGCTTGTAGGTGTCTACTTGAAAAGAAGGATTTAGAAGAATTATTCTGACGAAACATTAGGAAGAGACGAAAGACGACGAAATACATTAGAAAAGACGCCTGGTTGTAATTAATGTACGTTGATGAAATGAAAATGTTTCAGAAAATGCGTTTTAGTTCATTTTCAAAACAGCAAAACAACAAAGCATTATAAAATTACAAATACTCTGATTGGGCATCTATATGACCACAAACAACCAAAAGTCCAGTAATACTGACCTCGGTTTGACTTGAAAATTATACTGAACAAATGCAGAGTTAATGCAGCAGATTAATATCGTCAACCCAATAATGTCGTCCTGTTTGTTTAGAGATGATTTCGGTAAATTCATTGATGATTGCGAAAGCGAAAATGCAATAATTTGATGTTCCATTGAATAACACGAATATGTGATTATCAATTGTGGGGCTTTTATTAAGTGCATCATCATAACGGCATGCCTTTGTTCCTCTAATAATATGTATGGTTTATTTCAAAAGATTTATGAGTCGAACATTTCCAACAATATGGGCTCTATGCAAGCATTTCGAACAATGGGCATTGTACTTTTTTCTGTGCATTAGTCACTACCGACTCTATGTAATATGAATACTCTATCGAATGAATGTGGCTACCGATTTTTCAGCTTTCATAATACACAGTTGTTAAATAATATTTTCAATGAGGTCTATTCTACTGCTGCCTTTCAGTAGCAATATGATGCTCTATGCAATTTATCTCTATTTGTACTTGAATGCAATAACGAATTAATAGATCGAAATAAAAATGAATTATTCCCATTGGTTCCAATCAATTATCGTAAGAGCATGTAATTGGATTCGCAATAAAATTACATAAATAAAATCATTTCTACTTCGATCCAGTTATAATTTATAGCAGTTTTACTTGCAGCTTTATTGCAGATGCCTACGCAAATACTGAACACTACAACTTTTTTAATTTGCTGTTGAGTTAATTACCTCGTCAAATTCGACGATTTTTTCGCTCAATGAAATTACCTAAAAATTAGATTTCGATTATTCATTGAAGTTAATTGCATTTGCGAAACTTTTTGGTTCAGCTTTTGTAGGAGTCAATTTACCTGTTCAATGGAGATATTAGTTTTGTCGTGCAATTTAGCCACCTAAAAATATAGAAGAGTTAGGAAGGAAAAGTTTACTAGTTTAGTAGAACATGCATTAGGGCTAAAAGTATTTAATTGCAGCAGTGATTTATTGTAGAACTAATTTACTGATCGGATAAGTAACTAGCTGAAGATACTGAATACCTACGGCCACATTAAATGTGGGTAGATCACCACTAGAATTTTAAGCATTATATGCGGTTTAAATTCATTCGGGAGGTTTAGTAAAACAATCAAGCATCTTGCATGGCTGTACAGAAATTAACAGATTATTTAAAGTAGGGCGTATGAATCGAGCGATTATGTAACAGTCTTTAATAAGGTTCACAGTACAAAGAACGGCTTAAAAAAAACATCTTGTGCCTTATATAAATCGTGAGATGCGGCTTCCTAATATTTTTTATATATGTTTTTTTAATAGATATTTAGTCCATAGTTTTAAATAGAACACCCTATTTAAGAATGGCCACTTTGTGGAACTGGTGAACTTTGGGATTTCAGGACGCCGTGGAATAGAATTCTTTTACAAAGTTTTCGACCAAAAATCAAGTTTTTACATGTTTTTGAGCCCAATGTTTTTGATGCCATCATCTCAAAAATGTTGCCTAATTTTTGCTCAAATCTGGCACCACTTGAGCTCAAGCGCTCGTTTTCTACCACTGAACAGAACATTGAAAACTTGATTCATCAGGTCAAAACTTAAAACATAGTTAAATAGAAAATAAAGTTTTTACATAAATGTCAACATATTTTTTTTAAAGTGGCTTTGAAAGAATTGGAAAATCGGCTTAAACATCACACCACTTTTTTGGTCATATTTAACGAATCATTTGAGCCACACCGCTCGATTTGTAACCACGGAATAGAGGATTAACCAAGGATTAATCACGTGAAACACCATTTGCAATATATCAGCAGTTTACACACAATAAAGCAAGATTTCAGAAACTTGTTTTAGTTTACGCGATTCTTCCAAAATTGGGCAATCAACTTACACATGGCTTCGCCTTTTTGGTAAAAACTCGAAAACCATTTGAGCTATAGCGTTGTTTTTTTACCACTGGAAAGACAGCTCACAAACACAAACACCCCATTCACACAGTGAAATTTAGTTACTCTATAGTGACAGTTTTGGTGTTTTCACAGTTTCAGTTTTCACAAAAATTGGAAATTTGTACATTACATATATAGGAGCAGGAAAAGTCAATTTTTTAAAACATATCGCCACCTTTGTGCTTATATTTCAGGAACAACTTGCGATAGTGCGCTCATTTCTACACCACTGGATAGAAGATAAAAAATCATCGAGAAATTTCCGTTTTCAGGCAAATGGCCAACAACATAATCTTTAATTTTACGCGGGTTTGGAAGAAGGGCAGGTTTGGCAAAAAAGCCAAATTTCATCATATTTTTTGGTTTTCCACGGTTTTAAACGAATTGGAAAATCAGCTTAGGCATACCATTTTTTGGTCATATTTCAAGAATCATTTGATCTACAGCAATGGTTTTCTGACCATTGAATAGAGGATTACCATGTAAAACACCACTTGGAATATATTGGCAGTTTTCACTATTAAAGCAAAATTTCAGAATATTTTTTTTACTTGATGCACTTTTGGTAAAATTGGGCACTCAACTGGCACATGAGTTCACCTTTTTAGTAATATTTCAAGAACCATTTGAGCTGTAGAGTTGTTTTTTACCACTGGTTAGACAGCTAAAAAACCCATTCACTCAGTGAAACAGGAAAAGTCATTTGAAACATAGCGCCACTTATTTGCTGACACCTCAAGGAACAAATTGGGCTGTTGTGAGGATTTTTTGGCCACTGGATATACAAAAAGAAATATTGGCCGTTTTGGGCAAAAGGCGAAATTTTAACATATTTCTAAGTTTTCCGCGAAATATGCTCAAACATCACACGACTAAAAAATAATTTTTCAAGGGAAACATCAGTTGAGAGTTTTCGGGAAAATTAGAGAATTCCAGGCAAACACCACACCACTTTTTTGCTCATATCTCAAGAACCATTTAAGTTACAGCGCTTGCTTTCTTATGCATTAACTTTGGTTTTCACCCAAAAAAAAAGAAACATCCTAACAGAAAAATCTTTAATTGGAACTGAGTGATGTCTAAAATGTAGACCAGCAAAAATATGCATTTTTTAAATAGTAGAAAGAAGGACAGTCTTAACTGACTAGTTAAAAGAGAGTTGTAGTTTGAGAATTGGAGATCGGGCTCAAATAAGCGTCTAAACTTTGATGCCACCAAGCTTTTGAAATTTACTCTGGTTCCTTCATCATTTTTGTATTATCTGTAACTTGAAAGTATTATATTTGTCTTGTTCTCTAACAAACCTGGCTAACGTTGAAGATGTAAAATTCATCCTCTTGATCTATGTTGCGTGAGAACTGGATGTTTTCTTTAAATTTAAACAGGTTCGAACCCTGATGCAGGAATTAGAATTATACTCTCGATTGCGTCCTCCTCAAGACCGAGACCATACGAACTACAACTCCTCTTTTAAAATAATAGTAAATAAAACGCGCTCTAACTTCGGTATCAAAAACGTTTGAGTTAATTTTTTAAAGACAATTTTTTTAACTTTAAAAAGTTGTCTTCAGTTAATGCTTAAATAACTTTTCAAGCCAGAGAAATGTAATTATAACTTTCAAAACTCTTCTTTTGCATTCAGGAAGCATCATCTGAATGTCATATAACACACAGAATGTTTTATACACCAATTCATTTATAACACACACAAGAGTGCCAGTTTATAACATTTGTTGAAAAGCCTTTCTCTACCGCAAATTATACACGTAGTCCATAGTTAATTCCAAACACCAACCACCGCAAATGCATTATCAGTACGCTTTGACTGGCTTAAATTAGATAGAAATAGCAAACGTGTTACCTTTTTGAAGTAGCCTCCATGCAACCTCATGTGTCCATTCAGAGCAGGAATATTCTTAAACCTTCTCTTGCATAAATTGCATTCCACTGGCTTGAGGATGGGCTGCTTGTCCTGGGCAGTGGGCGAAGGCATAGACGGGGTTGTTGTGGTAACTTTACTTTGAGGACTCGAAGCCCCCGATGAAATCGTTTTCACCTGCATGCATTGTTGCTGCTGCTAAAAAAAATAAAAAACACTAATTAGTATTGCGATAAGAATGATGAGAACGTTAAAAAGTGACCGTGATGGTTTACTTCAGTATTTTCGTTCAAGGCCGGGAGTCGAGTTAGTTAATTATACCAAGGGTCTCATGTCTCGCATGGAAGTGTTTTTTAATTCATTGTGTATATTTTCCTGACTGTATTTCAACTTAATTCAAAAGAAATTCCTGGGTTCCAGTCAATTTTATTGTTCATCATTTAAGATGTTATAAATACGTTTCGGTGTCTTTTTCCACCATCATCAGTTTGCATGTATGGCTGTTTCTACCTTCACATTTGGCAAGCAATTGGTGGTGATGGCTGATGATGGTGGAGAAAAACACCGAAACGTRTTTGTAACATTTTAAATGATGAACAATAAAATTGACTGGAACCCAGGTTTTTTTTTGAATTAAGTGTTTTTTAAATCAGATCAGTTTGGATATTGGTTGTAGCAGCGAACGTTTCCAAGCACTAATCACAAATCTATGCCTTTCCAATACGCAATTATTACTCAATTACCTGCCCAACATGCGCCAAATAATTGTTCCWGTATTGATCCATAACTTTCACATTAAACAGCACAATCACTAGCTACTAACGAAAACTACTGGGGTACAACACAATTCGCTAACATTCTCAGTCCGTTACGCAAGGGCTTTAAATCCTTTTAAAAGCACTTGTTCTAAATTCTCGAAAGGGGATAAAACTGATTCGTGGTTGACGTCACTCGGTCCAGCAATAACCGGATTAGATGGAGATATTTGATGAGTCTAATCGGGACAGTGTCACCCTTATGGGGTCCGTTGTGTGCGATAATGGATGGGAATTACTGCTTTGAATCGATGCTGTTTAGCTCGTTTTTAACTGAAAAAATCATGCAATTTGGTTAGTAATGGAACCTTATGTGCTTGTCCAATCAACTACAACAAATTTGTAAAAGATCACATACTCAATTCAAGAGAATTAGTGGAAAAAAGACCCAAGATGGGGTTGAAGTTTTTTTTGTTATGCATATATCGGGTGTTTTACAGCTAGTCGCCGTCTTCCCGTTCCCAATCTCCATCGGTCTCGATTCTCGACTTCCATTGCTTCTCTTATGCCCACAGTCTATGATCTTCTGGGTTTTGCTCTCTTTCTCCCTCCTGGTGGGTCCAGGAGGTTAAACATTTTTAGGGGTAATCTTTGTTTATCTATCCCATTCATTTTAATCCTCTCTTTTTAAACTTTCCAGAACTGTTTATTGCGGAGCTGCTCTTTGTCTTATGTCCTTATTTCTGTTTCTTTGCAACTTAGATATTTCTTCACCGCGTCGCAGATAGTCCCTTTATACAGTATTTATTTTTAGTTTCATTTCCGCCCCCAGTGTCCACAATTCAACACCATTGTCCTTCCTATATGCCTTTTCACTTCTGTTGAAATGTGTCTGTCCCACCAAACTGGATTTTAGCAATCAATGACTTTCCGATTCTGTCCAATGCGCCTTTTAACTAAACTAAAAAATCTGCAAGTTTTACAACTAATTTAATTTGATTCAGTTAAGCTGTTAACAATTAGCTCAAAACTTTCCGTGTTTTAAAAATGGCCTTCAAAACAGTTCATTTCTAACTGACAAAGATGCAATTAATGCCAAATTCACTTACCTTGTCTGAAACATGCTCTATTGATATAAACAGGCTTTTCATAGGCAGTAAAGTGTTTTTATTTCGCTTGAAAATGCGTTATAACTGGTAATCAATTTCGTATACATTGGGGGTAAGGCCTTAGTCAAATTGTCCCCTTTTTTTCGCCGAAACGCATTTGCATACTGAATTTTCACATTGGCAGCCATAGAGGCTGTAAACCTATATTATGAACATTTTGAAAACATTTTACTACAGGCACTGGAATTAACAATTTTCCCTCTTTTACTCGGCCTGTCTATGCATTTAAATTACGGGTATTAGACAGGGATTTGAGGCAAATGCAAAGGGGGCTTTTTTACTGCCCGATTTATCTGAAGAATGTCTGCAATTCGGGGATATAGCATAAGATTTAAAAACAACGCCGCCATTATTTATGAGTTTCAGCTTGCATAATATAATCAAAATACATGATCCTTTATTTAAATTGTTAAGCTACTGAGGGTGCCGCCTTAATCGACTGTTGCAATCGCCCAGAGCTAAATAGAATATTCCTCGGTTTGTATTATGATATTCAAATGCAAAGTTTTTACCTTGCCTTTTTTCTTTGCTTTTAGGCTAAGTGCACATTTACTTTCATATTAAACGGAAAAAATGCTGTTTTTATGTAAAGTTTCCACAGGTAGCCACCTGAGCATCGTTTGTTTAAGAGCGATCAAATTATGCTAACAATGTCATTAAAATTCTTCGAAATGTTCTTAGCTGTTTTCAGTCTACTCGAGATGGCTTGATATATATAAATGTCTAAAGTATCCACCCTTATTAATTATCCCCAGATCACCGATACAAAACACGTAAACAAATGCGTATGCAAATAAGACGAACGAGCTGTTCCACCCCTCGACACCTTCTATCAATTTAATGGAACGGGGTAGAGAATCCCGGTGAAATCTAGGAGGAGGGTTAAAGGTCGTTGAGTTCCCATAGCATCCCCTTTACATGATCAATCCGCATGTTCAATTTGGATATACGTGTAGTAAAAAAACCCTCATTTTAATTTCGGTTGAGATTTTCTACAAATTAGCAACTTGATAAGGTTTCAAGTTGCTCACTCCAGCAGTAAAACTGCAAATTACATTTCCAGTTAGCTCGCGATTTTCCACGAACTAAAAATACGATATTGCAATTCGCAGTAGAATTTGTTTTGAACCGACCGAGCAATCGTAAAAGTCCAACAATCCTATTAAAATTAATTTTAAATTAATTAGGTGGAAAGCTGCCGGGCTGCATAATGAAATTAAAAAGGGAAAAGTTTTACACAAAATTAAAAATCCTTCACAAAGTTTTGGACAAGCACTTTGCTAAAAGCATAATTATATTTTAATGTTGCAGGAAAAAGGCTTATGGATCCAATTAGGGATTGGTTCGAATTTGCATCTTGAGAAGTTCCTCTTAAAAATTAGTTAACGGTGCATGCAAATTTCAAGGTGCTAACACGTTATTAAATAGAAAATAAGGCGTTTAAAGCTCATAAACCTGAGAGATTCATGCGAATCGCTGGTAATCGTTTATTGTGCAATACCGATCGAAAATAAATGTGTTTAAACACATGTAAGTTATCCGAAAAATTCTTGAGATGTCTCATAGTCAATAGCAGACACTTGAATCTGTGAACTCTGAAAATTCCCATATTTAAATCCCACCAACCTCTGATATTCTTTGAGGTTTGAAAATATAGTAAAATCTGAAATTTCTGCAATATATTTTTGCTTAAGTTGTAAATTTTGCTGCTTTAAACATGAAAGTTTTCAGACAAATCTAATCCGATCTTCAAATTACGAATCTGTCAAGTAGAAGTACTTGCAACTTAAATGTATTCTACCTGCTATAAGCAGATTCTTGTATATCAAGTTGTTATTGAACTCAGCCGGCTGTTCTGAAAACTTTGATCAATAATGGGCTCAAAATTAATATTTTTAGAAACTCAAACTCATTTGTGAATCAAGAACAGTTAGTTCGCAGACTAGATAAAAATTCTGTGAACTTTGAGAATACGATACGAATATAAAAATACTATAAAAACGAATATTTTCAGATCATTCAACAAAATCAATTAATTTCAAACAACAATTGTGTGTTTAAAAAAAATAGTCGATTAATTTATATTTGTCTTTCAAATTTATTTTTTGTATTCAAAGCCCGCTTTTCCCGGCAGATCATGAATTGGTATTCTAGAACTAGATATTTCGAGATTACTATATGCTGCTGTTTAATCCCTTCTGACTTTTACTATATCGCAAGAAATAGCTCGAAACTCTCACACAAGTGCTTCAAAATTACCAATAATTTTGCATGAAAGCTTGTTGTCTAAAAATTGCATGAGTTTATTTGCATATTGTGGCGAAAAAGCCCGACTCTGAAGGAGGAGGTCTTTTTTGTTCCAATTTTGAATGGATTTTGTTTTGTTTTTTTTTGGATAATTATAATTATAATAAATTGAAACAAAAAAAAATGTGGCTCCAATTTTTTCCATTTTGAAATATTCATTGTAATTACGTCGAATCCTTTGAAAATAATTAACTGAGCTAGACTAGCAATCACCACCACGCTGTCTTTAACTGGAACTTTTAATCTGGAACAACTAAATGCTTGAAATCGTCCCCATATATACCAGACACTTGAGGCTTAAAATACAAACAATTCCATACAATTAGCCAAAAGGCAAAATTCTATTCTAAATTCTATTCTCGAACGGCGGGTTTCCACACAACTGTACACTATCCTTTAATGTTGAACTATAAAAGGTCAGAACTTTTAATCTGAAACGAGATTTCTGAAAATTTCACAGTTTATAACGTACATTTTAAATCTCACAGATCTGAAATTGCCACTCAAATCGTGCCGTAGCAGTTTTTGTTGCAAGGTATTTTACATCTCTTCTAGAACTGAATCTTTTCACATAACTGTGCACTGGCCTTTAAAAACCCGAATATTTTCAGTTGCAGCTTCTAGTAACTTGAAAATATTACGGGGTGTCAGAAACATTTGGATCTAAAACGCTTGCAAAATTCAATGAAATTGCACGCAATGCTGATTTTTGGGCAAATTTTGTAAACATTTAACTGCATTAAAGTAAATGCTTTCATATAAGAACAAGCTATTATTTAAAAACTTATAATTTAGAATAACCAAAATCGTGAAATTCTTACAGTCTAAAGCAGATATTTCAATTTTCAATGTAATGCAACTCAAATTTCAATGTAATTTGCACTCAGGCCTAATATTCTGTAAACTTGTAAATACTGAGCTAGAAAATACATTTCCAGGCAACCGCATTCTGTATTTTAAAATTTCATAACTTTTGATTTAAAGCAACTACTGACCTACAATTTTTGCCATTCACACAAATAGAAAAGGAACACAGAAACAAAAAAGAAAATATAAAGAACAATTAAATATAAAGACCAAAGTGCTATTGAATTTGTATAGAAGTTTGTGGTTTATGTATTTTGGCAAAGTATGTACTTTGTCGTTTAAAATCTCCCAACGTTTAAACTAAACTGACGAGTAGATGAAAAGTTTCAGTCTGAGCAGTCATTTGAATGTAAAAATTTTTGTTTCACGCTGATACCTGATTTACTACGAAATGTGTATATATTGAACTAGAATTGAATCTATACACATAACTGCAATTTTTTTATTTCCAACTTTGTTTCGAACAACCGGGAAGTTGGGCTCTCAGCTTATGGCATTTACAATGTAATTTAATTTCATTTTAAAAGCTCTCGAACTCTGCATTCAATTCGCCTTGAAGCCAGAAATTTAGCGAAATACTTCATTGCTAGTATAGAAGTCCATGCTTATACAAATCTAAAATCTTGTAATTTTTACTCTAGCTGCACATCAAATGCTGATTTTCTCTATTTTTAGAGAAACTACAAGTCGTTTTTTAAATATTTATTTTATTTAAAGTAGAACTGTTTTCATGCGCCGCGAAAATAGTCCTGTTAATTGTAATCTGAATTTAAAAACTCGGTAGCAAAAAACAGCAAAGCAACGCAAGAAGCGAGTTTAAACTTTGAAAGACTGTACGAAATTAAAATCGTTAAAAATGAAATCAAAGTTGTCCTAATATTCTTTGTGTCCTATTTCTTTTCTTAGTTTGTCTTGGGAAATTTTCTAATAATTGTACGAATCAGTCGAGCTTGGTAAATGTTGAGTAGCTTTCTGCTTATTTCGACCTGTTTGGGCTAGAATAAAAGGCGACCAAATTGTCACAGTAATGGCGTTCATACTAAAAATGCATTTTATTCAAATCGTAACCAATTCTGAATGTTTGCCAACTTTTTAAAGTTTTCGTACACAGTAAAAAACCTGTTTTGGTTTCTCTATTGCACACACAATAGTACACATATTGTTTGTGCATGAGAAACTTTGCTTTTGCCTTGAGTATCCAAGCAAATGATAGACCTATTAGCTGAATTTTGAACTGTAGGCAAAAATAAGTTCAGACTCGGCAAGGGTTTCTAATTTGAAAAATAAGACCGCCCCGACTTTGAATACGGCATTCAATTTATCTTCGTTTGAAGTCTAGTCTCGAAGTTTTCGGAAACTTTTCGGCGGGCATGTTTTATGATCGAGCCAAGGTGAATGCTATTAAGCGACTACGTCAGTTGAGTTTTGCAGACTCGGATACATTAACCAATAAGTAATAAATTGTGTAGTTTTTTCTGTTGGTTCTTCTTAATTACAAACTTACCGAACTTGGCGACCATGAGGTAGACGACGCTGCTGCCACCGTTTTTTCTTTGCTTCGCGACTTTTTCTTTGGCGATGGTTTTGTGGAGGATGGCGACGAAACTACTTGGTTCTGTCTTTGCGTTTGCTCCATGATTTGATGGATGAGATCCAGCTGTTCTTTCGTTAACCCGTCGTTACTTCTTCCGGCACACTAAACGACAAGAATAGAAATTCGTGATTAAACTAAGCGAATGAGGGACACACGCAGTTTTTCCAAATGATGCAGTTAATTACCTTTCAGTATCAGATACTTTTTAACAATAAAAAGTTAATAAATAAACTTTAATTGGTAGCGCATCGTTTCTAAATGAGAATCGCATTGGAAAATCTATCAGAGCAACGGCCTTTGTTAAAAACGTAATTTTAATAGCCATTCCAGACTAAACATTCATCGAATATTTAATAACGTATTTCACTTTTGCAGCACGCAATAGTAAAATTGAATATTGCAGCGCACAAAAGACGAAAAAAAGATAACGGCATCATGGAATATGGAATATTTCATTTCGATAACGATTCAAATAAATATAAAATGTTCATTCGATGCGAAACATAAATCGTAATTAGCGAATTGTTTTCCCGATTTATTATCACTGTTGGCTTGGCCCGGGAATATATTTTTAGTGTTCGATCAAAAAATATGAAATATTGTTTGGATAAATATGAAATAAAAAATCGCAGCTTTGAAAATATTTTCCATTAGGGACAACGACCGGAATTTAATGAAGAGTAATTGGCCGAATCACCTGAACTTTTAACTTAATAATATTTTAACTAAAGCCATTGTTTTTGTACATCATTTTTAGTATTCTATTTGTGGCCCAGTTTTTAAACGGATTTAGTTAAATTGTTTGCTGTTGTGGTTGTTGAAACTAGCTACAACGATTGATGAACATCCCGAAAACGTTCATACTTGAAACATTAATTTTTTGCGCTGATTTTGCGACACCTTGTAAATGCTTTGGACAACATCACAGCAAGAATCCGATCCAAGTAGTTAAGGGAGTAGAACAGAATTCAAAAACTCTTGTCGAACAGTTCACGAGTTTTTTTCCATCGAAAAAGGGAAACAGTGAAATAAATCGACTGGACTGACCTTTCGGTGTTCGATCGTTATTGCTGAGATTACCGCAAAACTTTCGTAAAGCACTGACACTCTTTTCTTAAGCATTACAAATTGCGAGCCTTCGCGAAAGATCCAAAGGCCGGTATATTTTTCGACGCAAAAATGTTAAGTTTTAGAAGAGATAAATGCACAGCCATTCCGTTGACGGAACACATTTACAATTTGGCCGACTACAAATCTTAAATGGAAGGATTTTAACGGAACTTTCTACGGCTTAACGCGGATTATACTTGGTTTCCGCAAAGCTACATAAATGCTAGTCAGTTATCAGGCTCATTGCTAATTTTTAATATTTTAAAGATTCTATAGATTTTTTTTGTTATCGATATGTCGATGGACTGTTTGGTTGATTTTTTGGTGATAGTTTAATATTTATTTAATTAACTAATTGCACACGGCAGAAATTAAGAAGTTGGCTCTAGAGAAAACAAATATTTGTCCCCAACATAAAAGCGACAAAGCAGCAAGTAGCGATCAAGAGTATAAAAGGCTAAAAAATAAAGTTGAAACCAAAAAAAAACAACTAAACTGTATTTACTGGATGGCATTGTACAGTCATGTACTTACTTAATATGACCAGAAAACTAGTTGATTCACATTGAAAAATACATAAGTAGTTCTTCAATGTTTTAAAACAATTGATACCAAATTTTATTGGTTTTGTCTAGCAACAGTTCATTCTTACAAACTACTTAATAAACCTAGATTAAAGATTGCTTTCGGTTTGTTTGTGCCGAAATAGTGTTTAATAGCTATAAAATATTGAGAATACGGTGGGATTGTCGACTGTTTAAAATGGTTCAGAGAGTGGGCATCAGTCCAAACCAAACGTTGTAACTTTTCATAAACATGTATTATAAAATGTCTGATATAAACGCCTACTAATAGCCACTAAAGCCTGTATGATTCAAATTCACTTTGCATAAAATTTCCTTATTGTGGGTAAGTGTAGATTTGAAAAAAA